CTGTGCCACTCAAACTCTCTTCCACAGTAGATTAGAGTTCCACTCTCATCACCCTTAGTATTGTTAATCTTGGTTATTTTTAGCTATTTTGGTGGGTAGATAGTTGTTTTTATTTGCACTGTGGTAAAGAATGATGTTGAGCATATTTACACATTCTTACTGACAAACACATACTTTAAAATCTCTTGTAGGTTATTATTATTTCTATTTCTCATGATAACATTCCTATTGTTTGTTTTAGTCCTGGTTCTCCCACATCTTTCTTAAAACCATAGTGGTTCATTTTTCTTATGTGGTTTTAATTTTGAATAAGAGTTAATTTTATTGTTTTTTTCCTCTCTAAGGAATCTAGGTGGTACCCCAATGTTATGGTTTAGATATGAAGAATCCCCTATTGTCTCATTGCGTGAGACAATACAAGAAAGCTTAGAGGTGAAATGACTGGGTTTTGAGAGCCTTTAAAAATAATCAGTACATTCATTCACTTGAATGGATTAACAGGATGATAACTGTAAGCAGGCAGGTGTGGCTAGAAGAGGCAGATCACCAAGGGTGTGCCTTTGGGGTATATATTTTGTCCCTGCTGAGCAAAGCTCTTTCTGCTTCCTCATAGCCTTGTCCTGAGCTGCTTTTCCCTGCCACACCCTTCTGCCATGATGTTGTGCCTCACCTCAGGCCCAGAGCAATGGAATCTGTAGTCTGTGAACTGAGGCTTCTGAAATTGTGAGCCTCAAATAAACTTTCCTCCACTAATACTGTTCTTGTTAAGTCTTTTGGTCCCAGCGGTGAAAAAGCTGAGTGAAACACCCAACACATTGATTTTGCATTAGTCCTCTCCAGAACAACAGGGATATCAATGTTCTGGGGCCATTTTAACAGAATTTTTCATTTTTAATATATAATTTACCATGGCAAAATTGGATTACTAATTTGCTTTTAAAGAAAAAATTATTTTCCAATTAAAAGAACATAATCACATAGTATCCACTAAAATATGGTACATGTTGGGAGAACTGGATATGATTTCCAATTATACAGTCCTTTGCCATTATTTGAAATTGATAAAAATTCAATGAGAAGTGGGGGCAGGGTGTTGTGGCTAGTTCTCCTTTTTACAAATAAGGACTCTGACGTTAACTGATAAATCTATGGCTTTATCTATAATATGTGGTAGAACCAGGACTAAAACTCAAGTCTTCTAATTCCTGGTCCAGTTTTCTTTTCAGTAGTATTCCATATAGACTCATATAATTATTATTTTTTATTATATATCACAACCAGAAAAATCATTTATTCTCAAGAGAAGTGAATCAACTCACTAATTTAATCTTTAGTTTACTGTAGACAGGGCGTAGAATGTGGGGCTTGAAATCAAATTGCCTGAATTTGTGTCTCAGTTTTACTAAACCTTGAGCAAATTTGCCCCTCTGAACCCCAATTATAAAATGTGAATAACAGTATTTATCTCATAAATTTTTTAAAAAATTTGTATTTGTTCTTTTTAGTTATACATGACAGCAGAATGTACATATTCTACTTACATGGAGTGTAACTTCCCATTCTTGTGGTCATATATGATGTAGAGTTACACTGGTTGTGTATTCATAAATGAACATAGGAAAGATATGTCCAGTCCAAAGTACTTCTATTCTAAACAATGTGTGTTAGCATCTGTATGTCAGAGAGAACATTGGTCTTTGGTTTTTTGAGACTGGCTTATTTTACTTAGCATTGCATAGAATTTTTTAGAAGATTAAGTTAGATTGTACTTGTAGTGTACATATCATAAGTGCTAAATACATGTTAACTATTATCCCTATAGCAATTTTTAATGAGATAGCTTATGTATTATGTATTCCATTAATATTAAACTTTTTTTTACAGAGCTTCTCTTTTCCATAGTTATTTTACTTCTATCATGTTGTTTGATAGAAGATGGTACTAGACATTACAGAGATTATATGATATTTAAATCATAAATCATTATGTCATCTCTATGCTTTATTGGCACACTAAAGCTAAGCTTTATTAAAATATTATTTAAGCCAAGAATTTCCCTAATGGAATATTAGGCTGGCTAATTTTTTCCCCTACATTTTTGGCCAAAGGCCTAGAAGCCTTGTGTTTTCAATATATTTTATTGCATGGAATATATGCTAGAAGCTCATTCAAGTGGGAACAAAGAAGAGAAGCTCCCATTTTCAGAGGAAAACTTATCACCCCTAATCATTGCCTTTCACCATCTTCCCTTCTCAGTTTGCCAAGGACATAGGAGACATAGTGCCCAAAACAAATGTTTCACATTTTTAAGGATCTGAGATTGAAGATCACTCAGGAGAAGTGGAATATACATATAAAGTCATGTGTGTCAAGGATCCTAAAATGGATGGGTTAGTGCAATTCCAGTGGGTGTTACTGCTTGTTTTGAATGAGTGGTATGAGAAAATGCCTCTGAGGCTGTATATTATGCAGTCATTTCCATAGGGAAATAAAACTCGGGCTTAAAAAGTCAGTATTTGGAGGTAATTGCTTATGGCAGGAGATTTTGTTTTATTTTCTTGTTTTAAAAGAAAATTGCATCCTTCTGTGGATTTTTCCTCCCTCTGGAGCAAAGGTAGGGTGGGGGAACTCAAGAATGGTCATGAGTTTTAGTTAAGCAGCTTCTTTTAGTGCTCATGTGACAGAGGAATGGTTTTCTCTCCTATTCCTCCCCACAAAGGAAGAATAGTCAGGAGCCAGCACAATCTCATCATCCTTTTTCTGAAACCATTGGCTATGATTTGGAATTTCTAGCACAAAGTGTTACTTTGAACCGGCTTATACTACCTGGCCACAGTTCTTTTATGTTCCAGGTCCTTGCTTGCTCCAAGGTGACCTAATGCAGAGTTGTCTAGTCCCCCCCAAAAAAAGAGTAGACTACTTGCTTGATACTTTGAAACAGATAATGTGAGAAATGGAGATAGTTGTGGTCCTAGGATCTACACGCCTTAGTCTCAGAGATGGGGGTCATTCATACAGGATGTGTACAAGATGGAAAAGAAGCAGGCAGACATAGGAAAAGGGCAGAAAGAAAGAGAAATGAGAGAGAGATGAAATTGATGGAGTGGATCATCTCTAGACAGATCCCTAGATTTGACCCAGATCTCACTCTTGGAGTCCTGACAATTCTGATTTTTCTAGATTCCAATACAGAGACAGCTCCTTTGGTCTTTGTCATCATAGAAATGGGGCATTGGAGACCATAGAGTAAATGGCTAATGGCAATTTTCAACAACTCATAGAAAAAGAAGGAATTTAACTCTTAGGTAATCAACATGGAGAATAAATATACCAACTTTCATAATCAGTGATAACACCTGCAGAACAAATGTGGAAGTAGAAAGGAGAATAATGATGGCTGACAACTTACCTCATTCCAGATTGTGAATAGCCATAGTGTGATCCTCCCCAAATTGGTCACATTTGCATCGTAATAGAGTTTGGAATACAAACTCAAACTCAGCAGAATATGAAAATGATTCAACACCTAATTCAGAAGTAAAAAGATGAAACCCTCTGCATCTTGGTGGAAAATGCTCATCCTTAGATGACTCACTGCTGATTAAATGACCAGCCAAAAGAAAACAGTGTTTCGAGTCTCTATTGATATCTTTTCAAACAAGATTCAGTTCGCTAAACAAACTTTCCTTTATTTTGAGCTAAGGCAATTCATTCTATGACACTGAAAAACTTGTTTTAGCAATTTGGGATTAAGTAATGTCAGCAAAGATAGGAAGCATGTGGAAATCACCTTCAGTATTTTAAGGTTCCATGTATGCATAACAGAGAAATTCGCAAACTTGATTAATTATAAATATCATCTATAATAGTCCCTTGAAATTTGGCAAAGGCATTCTTTTTTTTTTTTTTTTTTTTTGTACCTGGGATTGAACCCAGGGCTGCCTAGCCACTAAGCCACATCCCCATGTGTGTATGTATGTGTCTAGGTATATATATAATCTTTTTTTTTTTTTTTTTTTTTTTTGAGTCAGGGTCTTGCTAAGTTGCTGAGGGTGGCTTTCAACTTGTGATCCTTCTGCCTCAGCCTCCGGAGCAGCTGGGATTACAGGCATGTGCCATAAGCACCTGGTTGACAGAAAATCTTTTATTGTTGAGTTTGACCCAGGTGAATCCTATTAATGCTTGAGGAAATGACATAAACATCAAGTTGATATGTAGTTAGTAAAGAAAAAATTTAAAAAGTACCAGGATACAGCCCCTGGCTATCGTTTCTTAGGCTAAAAGGCTAAAATTAGAAAATTGCAATTAACTTTGACTATGGGTCGATAAGGGAATTATCACAGTACTATCAATCGCAGATCTCCAAAGAATATGTTACAAAATAAGTGATAAAAGATATACTGGAAGACAACCATTAAAATTGATCAATAAACCTTGCGGAAAAGTTTAGACATTGAGCCATTTAGAGATGTAAAAAAATTATTAAGGTTGCTGTTCCACTAATGGAAACATCCCTAAAGCCTATTTATAAATGGAATAGARTGTGTGACTCTTGACAATGTAGAGCAAAAGTCATTTAACTAGAGCCAGGTACCAACCATCTTGTAAATGGGCTGATTTACATTCATTGTTTAGCCTTTGTTGATATCCAGGGGAATTACAAGTACATGTGAAACCACCCTGTTTAAATTGAGCAAACCACAGGAGTAATTTATTATGTAATGCAAGCCAATGTTTTCATATTTTATAGAGAATAAACACCTTTATTGTAGAGAATAAACATATTTCATATATTGTAGAGAATAAATAGTAGAATAAACAGCACAGAAAACCAAAGAGAATAACCCATAGTTATTAGCACATGGCTAGCAGTAAAATTAATCAATGGAGTAATCAACTGTATTTATTAGGGCTTGTTGTGGGCTAGGCATTAGTATTTAGTGTCAGGGAACAAAGACAAACAAGACATGGTCCCAGAATTCATGTGCCCATTTTTTGGGTTATCTAGTATCTAATCTAGAGCTGAATGGGTCATGAATAATATTATAAAAGTGGGCCATACACAATCCTTTAAGAGAAATTTCTTTTCAATGACAACAGTTACCTTGTTGTTATGTAAATACAAGGTTTTGTGAATTTATTGCTTTTTCAAACATTAAGGAATTAACATTCCTAAAATTGATTTGGTTAGTCAAATGTAAAAGCCATAAATGTAAAAAAATTAATAAGGTCAAGCAGGTCATGTTTTACAAATATGTATTCCTATAGCAAAAATTATTTCAAGATAAGTCATTTTTATAGTCAGTAGATAATACATGATATCATAAATGATTGATTGAAAGCATCATTCTTTACTTTTTTCAGTCAATTTAGTTTTGTAAACAATTAAACATTTACTAAATTTAAGTAAAAGTGATGAGGGAGGGGACCAAAAGCCACTTTGGTATAAAAATGGAACTATGATTCTCAGTTTAGTGTAATGATATTTTCTGCCACTGACCTGGCAGCATTTAAGAGTATAATCCACAAGTATCAAAAGGGATTATTTCTATAGTGAAAATATACTCCTCTGTGACAATGAGGTATAACTTGGTAATAAGCATAATGCATATTAATCTCCACAAAACATTGTCATGCCAGCAATATTTTAGGAGATTGGTTAAAATGTTAGAAAATATTTTCGAGAATTTATTTAGGGGTACCAATTCTGTTTTGTGTAGCTTTGGAAAACAATAATTTTTTTTCCAATTTAGTTTTATGTATACAACAATGAGAAGCAATTTAAGCTTCTCATGGACCATTTTTATCCATCCTTGTAGAAGATATTTTTTTTACAACATTAGGATTCTATATTTGGGTAAAAGTATCGTGATATTCTGTATATGTGTATATATTCTGATACACATATTCTGATACAAAATTTTTTAAAGAGTTAATAGACAATGCAATAAACTGAACACAAGAACTATGGAGAGAGAGCACAATTTCTTTGCCTGTCAATTAGAAGTTTTCAAGATCTTACATTGTATGTGGATCCTATGAAAATCAATAATGTTTATATGGAATGGGTACAGAATTCCATATAAACTATGTTGTGAGCATAACAGTGATGGAAACTTTCAGTAATTTAAATTTTAAAATTTCAATTTAAGCAAAACCAACCATAGCCTATCAATTTTTAATGTATTCTTTACATACACATTAAAATTAGAGCAGGAACAATAGATACATGTGTGGCACAAATGTCCAGAGGTAAATCTTCCAACTAGAAATAGATAACTTGTTATATATGTAAAACTTCAAAGTGTGAGATATTTCCACCCTGATATCAAACTGTTTCACAGGGAATACTGGTATCTTAAAGGAATGTTCACTGGCCATGATTAGCATATGGTTAAGGTATGGCACAGGTGTAAAAGAAGAAAGGCCAAAGGCCTGTGTTCCTTTGAATCACAAAGAATTTTAGGTTTCAGGTCATAACCACAACTAATGAAGAATTACTCCCTCAAAAGCATATTTGGCCTCCCATTAAAGGATTGACCCTAATCACTCTTTGAACTTCAGTCTGGGAAAGGCATGTTATGCCTGAGCCCTTAAGAATTCTCTCATTACTGGACAAAGAAGAGTAGAAATGAGCATAATTTTTCAAATATGTTTTTCTTTTCATGATCTTTCCATTTCAGGCATTGGCTTCATGGAACTATTATACATGTGATAACTTCTTGGTGACACTATTTAGAGGGGGAAAAAAGAGACTGTTAAAACAGCATCAGTATGTTAATGAACACAAAATATTCTCATAAAGTAGATTATGAATTTGAGTGTTTCATTAGAAAACACATCCTTCCTTTATTCTATTAGAATAACATTTGGAGATTCCAACAAGGAAAATGTGTTACAAGGAAGAGTGTAATAATACTGACTACTCATTGCAACATCTATGCTTGAAAGTTATTTACCAGACTTAAAGCTATGAGAAAACGTAAGCTGTTGATTTACCATTTAAAGTAGCTTATATGTTTTAATACACCCTGTTATTCCTAAAGATATAGTGGCTTGCCATCAGGAAGACAATACAGTAATGAACATATTTAGTGGTGATACCTTGAAAAACTATTAGGCAAAAAAAAAAAAAAAAACAGGAAAAAGGAATGTCAGCTTCTTTTCTTGTACAGAAGTTTGTAAAAATTTAAGGTGCCACTCTACAAAGGTCAAGTAGGTCATAACTGCCTTGTTTAATACACACATATCATTTTTAGACACCCCTTCTTCACATGTCTGCACGAACAAAAGAAGCAAATACTCCATCTTCCCGGGCCAAGAGGCTTTCTGGAGTGTCATATTCCAAAATATTTCCTCTCTTCATCACAATAACCAGATCTGCCGTCAGAATGGTGTGAACCCGATGCTGTGAATGAGAAAAAAAAATCCATGCATTTGTTATGACTTTCAGGTCACAAGACAAAGGAATGGAAAATGTATATTTCGCAGGTAATATGGGGACATTTACTTTGGCATGCCCAGACAATGCAGGAAACACGGCCTCTTCCCCACTTTTCCCATTAATTCAAGCATTATAAATTTACATATTCTTCAATTTTAGTAAATACAACTGGATTTTATTTGGGCTGTATTAAGTTTAGTGGATCTAATGTATCTGTGTCATCTTTTTTTGTGGAGTTTCTATATAAGTAAGCTAACCATCATTTGTCAGATAATTAAATGCTAAGATGAGTCCATCTTGAACCGGTTGGGTTATATTTTATTCTCAGATACATTTCTCTCTTGTGTGAGTCAACTAATTCCATGAGCTGACACACAATTTGAAGAGCCCTGGAAAGTAGTGCAATCCTGGGAAGGCACCAGGAGGAAGTCCACTCTAACAAGCAGAATTAGAATGAGTTTCCAGTCTCTGGACGTGCAGTGTCCTGAAGGTTGGGGATCACTACCACTCACTCTTTCTCTTTCCACATGGTGCTATTGGGAGAGAGGCTTTGGTGTTAGTAATTGATAATAATTAACGCTACCACTTATTGAGCATTTGCCATACATTGAGTGCTCCACACACATACTTGTGAGTCACCGCAACCTTCCTTAGCAATGGGTGTTTTTCCTGCCCACTTCAAAGGGGGAAACACTGGGATTCATGGAGAGCAAGAAAAATCAAGAGAGCACATAGATAATAAGTAGTCGAACCAGCATCAAAATCAGGTAACCTCAGCTCTACCAGATCCCACTTTATTCAAATTTGTGATATTTTGCTTGCCACATATTTTTTGTCAGTTTTTATTTCTCAAAATATTGCATTAAAATATTATTTACCTTAATTTTTGAAAAAAAAAATAAAATCAGGTGACCTCCAAAGTGTGAGATACTTCCACCTTGCTAAGGAACCATTTCATAGGGAGGATTTGGGATCTCTGAGGAAAGTTCACCTGTCCAACTGGTGTTATGGTTAAGAGCACAGGCATGGACCTTAGATTAGGGTCAGATTTTGGCTTTCCCATCAATTATTTGTGCATCTTGAGCAGCCTATCTTTCATAATATTAATACCTGTCTTGGAGAGTGATGATAAGCATCAAATAAGATAATCCATGAACCAAACCCAGCACTTTCATCCATATAAGCTACTATTATTCATTTTTTTTTATAATTTAGAAGGGAAAAAAATCTGTGTGGTAGGCTAATACTCTTGCTGAGATCAGTGCTGTTCAATTAAACATGAGCTACTTTCAATTTTAAAAGTTTTCTAGGGACTACATTTTGAAAGTAAAATTAAGCAGGTGAAAGCAATCATAATAACATATTTTAAACCAATATATCCAAAATTCATCATTTTGACATGCAACCAATATAAAATTATTCATGAGATCTTTTGCACTCTTCTGTTAGTACTAAGTTTTGGAATCTAGTACGTATTTTACATTTAAAGTAATTCGCAATTCATACTCCCCACATATCAAATGCTCTATAGACACACATGGCTGGGGCTACCATGTGACAGTAGCTGTGCAAGTCAAAACATTAGAGTGCTGATGGGCATTCTTGTCCAGAACTCTAAAACTATAAAGACCATCTACTCAGCTGATTCACAGTCTTTCTTTCCCCTAACAATCAAAAGTCCAATCTAAAGCCATCCCCAGACCTAGGCCAGGAAGATGAAGTAGTCTCAGTGTTGATATACTCAGAAGAGAAAGTAGTCATAGTTGTGACTCATGACTAGAGGGGAAAAGGAACACACACATGCAGTGTGACAGTGAAGCCAGCTGAGAGTCTGCCCTACTGTTTTCATCACCCATAGACAAGGCTACCATTCACTGAAGATTGGTAGCAAGTGGTACTTAAGAATTATCAAAACTTGGAGGAAAGTGTCTATTTATCTTTGAGAACATAACAGAGCCATTTGCATACTGTGCATTTAGAAAAAAATGAACATGCAGGTGTGGTGGTGCATGCTTGTAATCCCAGCAGCTTRGGAGGCTAAGGCAGGGGAATCGCAAGTTCACAGCCAGCCTCGGCAATTTAGTGAGGCCCTAAATAATTCAGGCAGACTCTGTCTCAAAATAAAAAATGAAAAGGGGTTGGGGATGTGGCTTAGTGATTAAGCACCCCTGAGTTCAATCCCTAGTGCCCAAACAAACAAACAAAAAACAAAGAAAAACAAAAACAGAAGCTTAATGAATTGTTTAACATCTGCTGTGCATTTTCTTTCCAGAGAAATATTAGTTTTTTAATAACCATATCATAGATGTTTAAATCAATAACACAACAAATTTATGTCTAAATTCATAAGTATAATCTCATAAACATTGAGCTGATATTCTAAAATAATGTTTACTAAATAAAAATTCAAAAAATCGTGGCCAACAGAAATAAATATTACTGGTGTTTATTTCATGAATCCAAATTATTTTCTTTTGTGACTAAGTGCAGTGTCAATGTAACAGAGTTGATGAAATTTTCAGAATTCTTAAGAGAAGCTAATCTAATCAAGAGTGAAGAAGAAACCATTTTCATAAATAAACACCATGGACTGTTTTGGGGTGTGAGAGCTTCTTTTTAGAAGCTGGAGAAAGTTATCTTTTTAAAAGATACTCTGTAATTTTCAATGGCAGTTAATCAAAATAACAGAGCAATAGAGCTGAGGATCACTCTTGCAAGGGGTCCACCACAAATATGCTGCTACTCTCTCTTTTATGAGCCTTTTATGAGAAATTGGTCCTCAGGAGAATCCTCCAGCGATGCTTCTTCCCAGCACTGCTGGAAGCTTTATGTATGTATTTTACTAGGTGTCCCAGTGGCCAACTTTGTACTAGAAGTCTTGAAGAATGGATGAAAAGTACTTATAGAAAAGTGTTCAATAAATATAGCAATCAGGTCAAAGAATATAATTTTTTGGTTAAATATGTAAATTATTCTCAAATAATCCAGATGTAGACTCTATGAGATCATTCATTCAACAACATCATGCTTCATGCATAGCAGAGACAATTAGTCTTTTGAGTAAACCTCCCCACCCCCATCTCATATAAGGGCAACAAGATCTCTCTCCCCAAAGATTTCTCCACTTGCCACAGTGAGAAAATTACTTTTTAATTTTTATTTATTTAATTTTGTGGGGGCTGGGACCCAAGCCAGGGCCTCATGCATGTTAGGCAAGCACTATACCATTGAGCCACATCTCCAGTCCCAAGAAAAATCTTTGAAATCTTCAAGAACTGTTGTTCAAGTTAGCCAATTCTCTCACCCCCACAAGTCATTTACACGTTAGTGTGAATGAATTAATTGGGTGACTCTCTCTCAGGGCAGAGAAACCAAAGAATTCACTGGGAACATGAAAGAAGTGCGTCTTTCTTTACCTGAACCATGATGGAGAGTCCTTTCCTGTCACCTTGAAAAAGCAGCACTTCAGAGGGGGCTCTTTCTCCCATGCATCATTCACAAAAATGGAAGCATAGAATGCACTCCACATGTAATTCCCATTACTCAGCAGCTAAACTCAAGTCACTATTTTAACCAATGCATTCTTCAGGACCAGTAACGATGATGCCTTACGGGGTTTTTTAAAGGATTCCCACAAAACACCCTCAAGGAATAATGAAATTGATTCTAAGGATAGAGGTGAATCTGATTTTTGGGTTTCATAAACACTCTCTGGTACATGTATATTTGAAAACATATACATGCCTCTTTTCAGTATTGTCCATAACAGAAGCACTTGGTTGAGCTGCTTTGAGTAATAATGTTCTGTAGTTAGTTCCCTCCCTTAGTTGTCCCCCTGAACCACAGCATTGGCCTTGCTTTGTGGGGGGACACTGCTAAGATAACTACCAGAGAATGAGATACTTGGCGAGTAGATCATGACGGTCTACTTGTTGGTCATCACCAAAGTAGAAAAGAGGCCATTCTTGTGGGCGAGTAAGTTTGGACCACTGTCACACTCCACTAAAATACCCTCAGAAAAGACTAACACAAGGCCTGCATCCATAATAGAGGAGACACGGTGCTGGAGAGAAAAATAGAAAGAAAAGAAGGATCAGCAGGAGGAAAATGTCTAAGTGACTCATTAAAATGTCTAAGTGACTCATAGTTTTTGTTAATTTGTAAACTTAAAAGTAAGCAGGAATGCACCTAAGTGCGAAGAGGAAGAGACAGAAATCGAAGGCCTAGTTTTAGTAAGCCATAACATGAATTACAAGAGTGTCAGCAACTCTTCTATTTGATTGGTGCTACCTAAAACAGAGAAATGACCTGCCCCTTCTGTGATATATCTGTCTTCCTCTTAAAAACAGATAAATTAAGAATAGAATGATAGAAAATAAGAATAAATAAGTAGTAACAGAATTGATAACTAAATTTAGGAATTTGGTTCCAGAAACTTCTCATCAAATCATCAGATCACTGAAAACAGAATTAGCACAGGCCATGACCTGCTGAAATCCTTAGATTTCACTGCAACTCAGAAGCACTGGGTAGAGCAGACAGTGTGGAAAAGAACAAAGCTTTTGAAATATAGATATTATTTTGTCTCCTTTTGCACAGATACAGAAACATCAGAGAAATACATAATTCATCATAAGTACATTTCAACTGCACAAGTTTAAAGATCATAAAATCTTAGACTAAGAACTCAGGAGGAGTACGTGACCCCATCTCCCATACTCACAGCTATGGTGACAACAGTGCGGTCTGCAAAGGCTGTCATCACGACTTTCTGCAAGATATTTTCCTGGCAAAAGAATTTAAAAAATAAAGTGTAAATTTTCTTGGGACTACTTTCTCTTACCATAATATCTTGCCCTCAAGAACAATATCCCATTATGCCCAATCCCTTCAGAGTGCTCTGTCCCCAGGTCTTCTGTGGAAGATAGGAGGGAGCAGTTCCCAGCAGCCAGCTCCTATTGGATTCTGAAGGTGTCTTCAAAATGCAGGTAAGCTCAGCAATCAACCTGAAGTGACTGATGTATTTATTGCTAGGGAATCCAAAGAGGAAAATTCAACCTCTTGGGTATCAAAATGCTCATGTATTCAAAACTAACCAAACCCTCAAATGGTGTTAACCTTTGAGTCAGAAAATGGAAAAACTGAAATCCATGTCAAAATTTTAGATTTTATTTTTTACCTATAATACAATATATCAGAAAGAAACTATATTAATTCCCACAACAAACTGCATTATCATTATATTTTTTAAAAATATTTTTTGTTGTCAATGTATCTTCTATTTACTTATTTATTTATTTATATGCGGTGCTGAAGATCAAACCCAGAGCCGCACACATGCCAGGCAAGTGCTCTATCACTGAGCCACAACCCCACCCAATATTTTAAAAGATGTTCTGGGTAAAGATTTCACCTTTCTCCTAGGGGAAAACTTGATTCACCTAAATCTTAACAGTGGAGGAGTTCTTTCTTCCAGTCAACTGACTTACTGCTGCTTAATTCATATTTTCTCCGTGTCCCTCTCTCTTTCTGTAGAGGCAGTATTATCTTTATAGTAACCTTCAATATTTTAAATCCTTAGTAATTAATACCAATTTTGATGTACTTGTGCTTAGAGAAATGGATTCATTAGAGACTACTTGATAGCTTTAAATCATGTTCACTTTGAGGTTATCTACCTTTGGATAGGTATTTTGATTAGTCTTAATAGAAAACATGTGAAATAGCATCTCCATTTATAATTGGCTCTYACTCTTGAAATTGTTTCACTTCTCTGGATAGCTTCACTCAATCTAAAGTGTTCAGCAAGAAAGTAACATGAGGCTGTTGATTTTTTTTTAATTGATGCCCTTTCTGATGCCAAACTTTAAATATCAARTTGACTTTCAAAAGAATAACATCAATTGCTAACTCAATACATCGTCTCTGGTTTCATGTGACACTGCCCTCATTTAATCACAGCCTTCTAGACAGATATTTCTTGGACATATTTGACACTTTTTAAAATGATTCCTTTCAAATGGCAAAGTTTCTAGCTTTGTACCATGAGCACATGAAGAAAGCCATTATTAATTCTAGACATTATTAATCCTAGTAGATCTCTCTTCAAATTGCTTCAGAAAATGATTGGTTTTGGTTATAAATAGCTTATTCAAAAAAGATTTACATTCTGTAAATGAACATCCACGGCCTAGTTCTTGAACACTGTACAGAGGTCTCATCAGCCAAGCCCTAAAATTACACTGATTTGAAACTTTATCAAAAAGTGATGGCATCATACAGTGTAAGAAATCACTAAAACTTATTCCTCCAGTCTAAACTGATTTGATTAATGTCTTTTATTTCTCCATTCCTTTTCTCTCCCTTGCCCCTGGCCTCTAGTAACAGCCTTCTACTCCGTTTCTATGAGATCAATGTTTTTTTGTTTCATTTTTTGGTACCAGGGATTGAACTCAGGGGCACTTGACCATTGAGCCATATCCCCAGCCCTATTTTGTATTTTATTTAGAGACAGGGTCCCACTGAGTTATTTAGTGCCTCATAGTTGCTGAGGTTGGCTTTGAACTCATTCCTCCTGCCTCAGCCTCCTGAGCTGCTGGGATTACAGGCGTGTGCCACCACACTTGGCTAAGATTAATGTTTTTATATTGAATATATAGTGAGATCATAGCATAATTGTCTTCCTGTTATCATATAGTATTTTACTTAGTACAACATCCTCTGGTTCCATCTATGTTGTTACAAATGACAGAATTTCTTTCTTTTTAAAGGCTTTATAGTATTCCATTATCTATATATATCATATTTTCTTTACCCCATCACCTTGGGTACTTAGTTATGTTCATATATTGGCTATTGTGGATGATGCCAAAATGAACATGAGAGTGCAGATATCTCTTTGACATAATGATTTAAATTTCTTTGGATATATATTCAGTATAAGGATTGCTGGATCATATGGTAGATCTATTTTTAGGGAGTTTGTTCGTTKTTGGTACCAGGGACTGAACTCAGGGGCACTTACCACTGAGTCACATCCCCAACTTTTTTATTTTTTATTTTTAGACAGGGTCTCACTAAATTGTTAAGGTCTTTGCTAAGGTGCTGAGATTGACCTTGAACTTGTGATCCTCCTGCCTCAGTCTCTCAAGCTGCTGGGATTACAAACATGCATCACTGCACCTGGCTATTTTTAGTTTTTGAGGAAACTTTACACTCTTTCCAAAATGACTGTACTAGTTTATATTTTCACCCAATAATGTACAAAGATTCCCTTTCCCCCATATTCTCACCAACACTTGCCATTTCTTGTCTTTTTGATAATAATCATTAAGTGGCAGAGATATATTGTACTGCATGGTGACTTTAGTAAGTCAAAAGAACAAGCAAACATTTAACTTGGACAAGGAAGTAATTAAAAACCAAATCATGCTGCAGAATAGCATGGTCACTCATAATGTACGATATATTTAAAAACTGTAAAAATAGATATTTTTTTATATTCTCACTACAAAAAATGATAAATTGCTGAGGTTATCAATATGTTAATTGCATTGATTGAGTCTTTCTATAATGTATATGCAGAGCAAAGCATCACATTGACCATTGAACCCATAAACAAACACCATTACTATGTACCAACTAAACATCAAAAAATAATTAAGCAATGAAACAAAATAAATAAGGAATATAGTAAAGAGTATCTGAAATTTATTTTTCCTTTCCTTACAAAATTTCTGCATATCTGAAATTATGTCAAAATAAAAATGTGGGGCTGAGGTAGTAGCTCAGCGGTAGAGCGCTTGCCTTGCAGGCACGAGACCCTGGGTTCAATTCTCAGCACCACATAAAAAAAATAAATAAGTGAAATAAAGGTATTGTGTCCAACTACAAGTAAAAAATAAATATTGAAAAAAATTAAAAAATTAAAAAAATTATAATGTTATAAAAAGGAAAAAAAGGTGAATTTATTTATGTTTAATGGCAGTGGAAACTCCTTTAAAGTATACGCAGTGTCTCATTTCTCATAAATCTCAGTATGATTCTCAGTGGATCAAAGAGATTGAGGAATCACTTAAAACAACAGTATCGAGGATTCAGAACCCAATCAAAAAATGTAATTTTCATGCACACTTCTCCAATTCATTATTTTCAGAGTTTGGATATGCACTCACTGTCGCCATGTCAATGGAAGCCGTTGCTTCGTCCATAATGAGAATGCTGCTCTTTCGGACAAAGGCTCTAGCCAGGCAAAACAGCTGTCTCTGTCCAACGCTAAAGTTCTCCCCACCTTCAGTGACAACTGCATCTAAGTCAGAAGAAGAAGCAAAGATTTAATTGAAGAAATTATATTAATATTTTCCATGGACAAAAAAGTAATTAAAAAATAAATCATGCTGGTATCACTTTGTGCTGGTGTAAGTATTTCCTTCTGAAACGCAAAGTGGAACTTGACTTTTGGAAAGTGAATATGATGGCAGGCATCCTGTTTTTCTTTTCCTTTTCCTTTTTTGTCATACTGGGGATCGAACCCAGAGCTTTGCAGGGGCTAGGCAAGTGCTTAACCACTAAGATACACCCCTGGCCCATTCTTATTTTACTTCAAGACGGGGCTTGATAAGTTGCCCAGGTTTGCCTCAAACTTGTAGTTCTCCTGCCTCAGCTTCCTGAGTAGCTGGTATTACAAGGGTACGTCACCACACTCAGCAGGTCATTCCTAATTTTGACAACATATGGTGAATTACCTACTAAGAGTAGAATATAAAATATTGTTAAGCATTTTGAAGACTAGAAGGCCTTGAGGATTATTTATTTACTATAATTCTTTAAAATGATTCTTTAATATGATTATCTAAGGCTCAGAAAGAGGACGTGGTTTGTCCAAACTAATATATAGTAGGACCTGATAAGAAACAGAATATTCACAATACTAATTCCAGTTCTCTTTCCATTCTACCATTCCCATAGACTGGAACTACCAAGTGGACAGGACTGGGCTTGTTTCTGTTGGCCAGTATATTTCTAGTATGATGATAGCAGCTGAATAAAATACCACTGTGCAGATAACTGAATGTGTCTCATTGTGCTTTACTTCTTTTTTATTCATTTCCATCCACGTTTCATAAACTGCTACTATGAATATAATAAAAATCCTKTTTCCAAAATATCTCTTTTATTAGAATTCAAACACTTTTTAGTATGGTCCTGGGCCAAATGTCAATTTATTTTATTCCCATGCATCAAATTCTTATACTCCCCCTGCTTGAAAGCTGTGTATTTAATCATCAAATTTTAATTTACATAATAAATAAGAATGATTCTCAGGATGATGAATGTTCTTTATCAGAGCTGGCCTGAACCAGATCTTCATTAAGCAATTGGTGTCATCTATATTGAGATAATAAGTACAATGTTCAATAAATTATATGGTATAAAAATAATCCTTTGTTGCTTACACCATACCATAACCTACAAGCTCTATGGCCACAATTTAGAGTAGGTGCATTCAGCTCTCATGTTAGTGAAAAGGATTATATGGTTTTAAATGTCTGTCTTTCCAGCTATTAATGGTGGTGGGGACAAATAATCAAGAATTATTATTGGAAAGTTCATCCAAATTTCTGAAATTATTCTTGCAACCTGATACTRGCAAGGTCAATAAAACTTTTTTTCAAAAAACATGCTATCCTGGGCTGGGATTTGACTCAGTGGTAGAGCACTTGCCTTGCATGTGTGAGGCACTAGGTTCAATTCTCAGCTCTGCATATAAATAAATGAATAAAATAAAGGTCTGTCAACAACTAAAAAAAAAAAAACAACATGCTGTCTTAATTTTTGTTTTGGGGATGCTTCTATTTAGGACTTAATTAAAATCAGAAAAAATGTATTGCTTTTCAGGAAGTCTTCCTTAAAAACAACAAAAAACCTAGATGCCAAACAACACAATCAACTTGGAAACTACATAATGTGTATTAAAATTAGAATATCAAAAAACTAAACTTTTATTTTCCTATATTAGTGCAGAATTTAATAAAACAAAAGTCTGTAACTATAGGTGTTCAGTTTTATAGAGACAATATGAATTCTCTGTTGTTTCATTAACAGGTTATTCTTTCATCTCATTATCATTCTTTGTTAGAAATTATGTTACCGCTGGGATTGAGTTTTTATCCATGATTATTTGAATACATGTTTCATTCCTCACAACAATGGCCCAAACCAGTACTAAACAAGATAACGCAAAATAATGTCTTCAAACAAGATGAAAATTATGTAATGTAAATCAAACTAATATTCCCTGTTGGCAGCAAAGAAAATGGCTGGGAAATTAACTTCTCTTAGGAGGTATTAAGGACTCTAAATAGCTTCTGAAATAACTTATCCATTTTCTGAGGATAAGTGGTCCTGAACAAGAATGAGCACAAGGAAATACCTGGTTAAAGTGAAGGTAATGAGAAGACTGAAGAGGTAAACATATTAATTGGGATATTTCGGACTGCACACTTGGAACAGAATTTATTCTAAGGTTTATCCTCTTATATTCTATGCAAAATAGCTCACTAGATTTTAAAACGTCTTAATGACATTCAGTAGATTATTTTAAGTATAAGAGGATTTAACATCGGGCTTGGGGTGTATCCTAGTGGTAAAGTGTGTGCATAGTATGCACAAGGCCCTGGGTTTAATACTCAGCATCAATGAATGAGAGAATTTAACACTAATTATGTGATTCTAGCATGCAGAATTAATTGCATATTGAAAAAGCAAATGTACAATTTAGAAAATATACCTAGACCTCCTGGTAGAGATTTGACCATATTCTTCAGCTGGGCAATTTCTAGAGCCTCCCAGAGTCTGTCATCTGTGCATTTGCACTCTGGATCTAAATTAAACCTGTAGGGAAAAATAGTTTAAAATAATAAAAATATATAAAATAAAAGAGAAATTTCAATATATATTTGCCCACTGCTTTACTTTCCTTAAAATGCAATTTTCATATATGTTTTTGTTTCTGCTTTTTATTTAGCACCTAGAACAGTGCTCAGGATAGAGCAAGCCCTGAATTCATGCTTAATGAATGAATGAATGAATAAACTTAGGGTTATCAAAAACGTTTTGATGACATCATTAGGTAGATTTRCATACATAATTACAATTTTTAATATAAATTTTTATTGGTGCATTGTAATTTTACACAAGAGTGGGTTTGTTGTTTACATATTCATACATGCACATGATTTGGTCAGTTTCATTCCCTAGGACCTTCCTTTTCTCTCCCTTCCTCCCCCATCCTGGTCCCTTTTCTCTACTCTACTGATCCCCCTTTTATTTTCATGGCATACACTTCTTTTTTTTTCTCTCTAGCTTCTACAATATGAGAAAACAGAACCCTTGACTTTCTGAGTCTGGAATATTTCACTTAAAATAAATTCACAAGTTCCATCTACTTTCCTACAAATGACATAATTTCATTCTTCTTTTTTTTCTGAATAAAACTCCATTGTTTATATATCCCACATTTTCTTCATCTATTCATCTGCTGACAGACAGATGATCTAAGCTTGTTCCATAATTTGGCTATTGTGAATTGTGTCTCTATAAACACATGTACACATATATCACTATAGTATGCTAACTTTAGTATAAATACCAGGGAGTGGATATATCTGGGTCATATGGTGGTTCCATTCCTGGTTTTTTGAGCAACCTCCATATTAATTTCCTTAGTGGTGGTACTAATTTACAATCACACCGGCAATGTAGAAGTGTTCTTCCCCCCATATCCTCTCCAGCATATTATTTGTGTTCTTGATGACTGCCATTCTAACTGGAATGAGATGGCATCTCAATGTAGTTTTGATTTGCATTTCCCTGATTATTATAGATATTGAATACTTTTTCATACACATGTCAGCCATTTGAAATACAATTAATTTTGTTCCTTGGATTTACCTACTCTATATTATACTTAGTATAACTTGATTAATGTCTTACTAATATTCCTGAAGAAATGATGTTAAATACATAAGTCAATATGGGAACATATGCAACTTTAGATAAGCTGGGTTGCACCAACAATAATAGTGGTATTCAGAATAAATACACTCAGAGATATAAATTGACCATGGTATTGTTAAACAGCTTGATAATCTAGAACTTTRTATCAAAGTAACTTTACAGGTGAGTATTGAGAAATCTTACATACATTTTCTCTTCAATATAAACAACAATTAAAAGGAGGTGGCAAGTACTTCTTTGTGATTAGTGAATGGTAGAGAAGAAAGGACACARGATGAATGAAATGACAAATGTGATCTCAGGCCGGTGCGCTTGGAAATCAGGCAAACTTCAGGTGAGATCTCAGTTTCACCACTTCCTAGATGTATGAACAAGTTATAGCTTCTTTGTGTTTCAAAATACTCATTTGTAAAATGGGGATAACAACAATCTAGAACAACGTTTTACGAACTTCATCGGACAGGTCTATTTAAAGTACTTAACAGTTAGAAAATACTTCCAGTTTTCGTTGTTGTTATTGTTGTTTGTTGTTGTTGTTGTTGTTTTGTGTGTGTATGTGTTAAACCATGATCCAGAAATAAAGAAGACTGTAGCAACCTCTTCCCATTAGTTTGTGGCCGAAAGTAAGGTTGTGAAGGATAGCGAGACAAGCAAAGAAAATAAGTTCAGAGTTATCAGTTCAGGATAGGCCAGGCACACAAGAGTTAGGCAGGTATCTGTAGGTTAGAATACCTAAGAAATGTCTTCCAAGAATCACTGCTACCAATTTTTCCTCTGAACTATAATCAAACTAAAAGAAAAGAGCTCTTGGAAACACAGGGATTTGGCTTTTATGGGTTAATTTACCAACTCTAGGATTTCCCAACTCAAATCTTTGGACAGTCTATTTGATTTTAACATTTTGATAATTTTTTCACATCTACCTGAAAAATAACTCACAAAACAAAACCAACCTATGACCTGAAGGAGGAATACTAAGGCCCACAGATTTTTGTTGAATGTTACCCACCTAATAGAACCACTGAATAGTATTGGATCCTGCAGAATGATAGAAAGCCTAGAACGTAGCGTATGCAGTGGCAGTTTAGAAATGTCTATCCCATCGATGACAATCTTTCCTGTGAAGGAGAAACAAAAATTACAGGCATGTGGTAAACTCACAAGTAAAATTTTCATTTGTTTACAAATTAAAGGTTTTTTCCTAGCACCAATTAAATTCTGAAAATAAAGCTTTCCATTTAGGAAACATTATGACATGTTTCTGAAAAGGGTAATAGTTTCCCTTTCTTATATGTACTTCTCTTAAGGAAATTTTCAGTTTTTATTCAGTTTATATGGCCTTATAAGCCCAAAATAGTTTTATAACTTTCAGGGCCCTTTCTTTTCTACTGTTCCTTTATACCCCTTCCTTGCTTGATTTATCTTCTTGGGATTGACCAGAATCTGATCTGACATATTCATATTCATTCTCTCTTTCTCTCTCCATATAATATATATATATATATATATAATATATATATGATTATTTATGTGTATGTGTATGTGTGTGTGTATGTATATATATTATATACTCACTTATTTCTTTAATGTTCTCTCTCCAAATTAAAACAAAATTTTCTTGAAGACAAAGCTTTTTTTGACTTTTTTTTGTCTTCATTCACTCCTGTATCGATTGACTAGCACAATGCATTACAAATAGGAAAGTGAATTCTATGATAGAGATATCATTTTTTCTTTGCAAATTATGCAATCTTGATCTTCTTTCCTCAACTTTAGATAGAATTATTTTATCATCTCATTTGTAKGCAAAGACAACATCACCCTGGGAGATAAGTATGCTAAGCTCAAAATGGCAGGCGCAGTCCTTTCACCTGGTTAGATCTAGACTCGAGGGCAGGTATGGGTGAGAAGCTTAAACTGTGTCTTTCAGGAATAATATGTTATTTATTAAACTATTAATTACCTAGGGCTACTAAAAAGTGAACAAGTCACTGAGAGTTCACATGGAGCCTGAAATCATGTTCTAGACACGTGGGCATCAGGCTGTCCTAATATGATTGGTCAGAACCACAGGTTTTTATGAAAACTTTCAGTCAATGGCATTTTGATTGTGTACTTGTCTTGTAACACTGCTAACCCAGGGATGGATGCCTACATTGCTCTGGAATTTAACACACCACCACCAATTCCAGATACCACAGTTGAATGTTGTTGTTTATATGCAGATCTTTTTATGTCATGTAGATGAAATTAAAAACTGTAATCTTTCAAGTACAATAAAAATGTAAAGTACTATAGTCGTCACAGTCATTGTAGGTAATAATAGTAAGCTCTTCCTTGGGGTGGGGGTCAAGTTCATTCTTAGATTCCCTTTAATTTGAGGTGTCTTCTATGTCTTTTCTGCTGACCTATTTATAGGCCACTTGACAAACTAAATAGTGTGACGTATTTTTTTCTAAAATACAGATTAAATTAAATTATTTCTATGCTCTTACCATAGATGAATAAATATTTTTGTATGTTATTTACATGAACTCAGCACTTCATAGCAAAGATATTTGACGTTATTAATCCATGTTAGTCAGAAGATGAGGCACGAGTCATGCACCAAAATTTAAAATACACATTATTCATTTCCTTGTAAAATTTCTTTCTTTGATAGAAAAACATATATTTTTAGTTTGAGGAAAGCAAGACAACATTTCCATCTTTCTTCCTCTTGAAATGCAACCTACATCTACTGCTCTTCAAAGTGGACAGCCATCTTCATTTTACCAGTTCATTAGAACTCTTTAGCAGCAATCTCTACACTTTGGCTTAGGGCTAATCATTTTATTTTCCCAATTCTATGTTCTTTCTTTATCTTTGGGTTATTTATTTGGGACATCTGCTTTGAACCACGTGAGGGCACAAAGTCCTTATAAATATTTGCTTTTTATTTTTGCAGAATTCGATAACTTGAAAATGTTTTTGAAAGGAAAGCACCATATAACTGATTTAAAAAATTAATTAACAACTTACCATCAAATATGTCAACCATTCTGAAGAAAGCCAGAGATAAGGAAGACTTTCCGCTGCCCGTGCGACCACAGATGCCCACCTGAAAAAACAACTGTCACTCAAAGAGAAGAGGACTCAGAGAAAGAACAGAAAATGGACAAAAGTATAATTGGCTTAGAAACGATATGACAAAAACACAGACTATTTGAGTAGTCTCATTACAATCTCATTTTCTCCTTAGATCTTACGAGCTATCATTATTAAAATAAAAGCATGAAGTCCTCACCTGATCCTCAATGAATACATTCAAACTCTTTTCCTTTCCACATGGTTGTATTGTTTTTCCTTCATGATGCAATTTTTGCATATAGCCTGTCATTTTATTTTATCTTAGAAATGATGAGTTTATAACAAAAAGTAGAATGAGTCCATTTTTTCCCCCCCGAACACTTATTCTTTTTACAATATTGAAAGAGGTCATTTGGGGACTAGAGCAAGACCTTTTCCTTGGCAAAGGTTCCCAAGGAAATGTCTGATATGGTCATAGCCAGAAGCCATAGATTTTAAACAAAACACCTACTGTTAACATTTCTGATTTTCATGGGAGATGAATGAATGGCAATCTGACCTAGAGAACATGTATTGTACTCTGATCCTGTCTCTCCCTCTCTCCTTTTACAGGTTCTTGTATCTACACCATGCAGGGAATACGATCAGAGCCCAGTGAGACTACATTTACTAGGCTTCGATGTTCAAAGAGCTTAAGGAGTGACAATGAGCTTCATCAAAGTTTTTAAGGTATAAAACAAATCAAATAGCATTGAATTCCATACCTTTTGCCCAGGTTTGATGTAAGCCTTGACATGTTTAAGAACAGGCTTCAGATTGTTTTCATATCTGACACACAGATCATGAATCTTGATCTCTCCTTCCTGTGGCCAATGTTCTGGAACCTGAGAAGGATCTAGGGGTTGGAAGGACAGATAGATAATAGGTAAATAGATATATATGGAGAAACATACACAAGCTTAAATATGTCTATATGCATTGTTTTTTTTTGGTTCTGGGGATTGAATTCAGGGGCACCCGACCACTGAGCCACATCCCAGCCCTATTCTGCATTTTATTTAGAGACAGGGTCTCATTGATTTGCTTAATGCCTCGCCATTGCTGAGGCTAGCTTTGAACTCATGATCCTCCTGCTTCACCTCCTAAGCCGATGGAATTACAGGTGTGTGCCACCACGCCTGGCCTGTCTATATGCAATTTTAATAATGATTTTAATATATATGATCTTTCCTAAACTTAAAATATTATTGAATCCAAATCTATAATAGTTTATATTTTTAAAAATTAAGTCACATTGGAAGTAAACATGTCTTGGTTAAGAATTTTAAAATTTTTTATATGTTTGTTTTTAGGGCATTAACTAGGATCATGGCTCTTCAGTCTTTCATCATTCAATTCTATTCACAGTGAATACAGAGAGATTATTTTTGAACTGATTTATTTGTTCAGTTAGTTAATCATCAAACATAGGAGTGCTTAAGATGTGAGAGTGCTATGCATGGTGCTGGATATGGAGATGAAAGATGTGGCTTGAGGTGCCTTCTGTGTCCTGGGGAGGGACATGAGGCATTTACACTATTATATGGAGAGCCACATGGTGCAGGGAAACCAAAGGCACACTGGGAGCACAGATGGTGGCAATCTGAGCATTCCACGAGGCTCCAAGAAGATAAGAATCTTAGAAGATAAGAGATGGGGAGCTCTGTTCAAATATGTCTAAGAGAAGAAAAAAGATGAAAAGGAAGCATAGCATGCTAGTGAGGCCAGAGTAGAAGTTGTGCAAGTGACAATGAGAAATGAGACTAGGTTGGTGGCAAGAGTTAACTTATGCAGGGTCTGGTGGTCTTAGCTAAGTTATCTAGGTTTTTGTCCTTGGAGAGCTATAAAGTCATGAAAGGATTTAGACAAAGATATGCATTTTAAGTTTGAGATTTGCATTTAATAAAGATTATTCTGTTCTCAGTATTGAATTTCCTGCCAGTTTTATTCCAACAGAATTGAGAATCTCATTTAGTATTTTAAGATCTAAGTTTCTTGACTTCTAAGTTAAAAAGGTCTTAAGGAAGAAAATTCAAGAACTCGTAGTTTAGATTGGCAATTAATGCAATAAAGCCCCAATATTTTTACAACTCTTTAAATATTATAAAATAACATCTACTTGGACTCTAATTGAGCCCAAGACTTTTCAGGTCTAAACAGTCCTTTTTTCAGGTGTTCAATCAAGCAAAATCAAGATAAGAATATTAAAGTGGTAAACAAAAGCTAAACAACAATATGCCTGACACACATGTAATATTTGCTTAAAATAATATTTAATTGAAAAAAAATACCCATGGTGCCTTCATAGTTCTCAGACTCCATACTCAAGAAGCTGTTCACTTTCTTGACTGCACCCATCTGCACCTCTAGGTCAGCCAAATTCCTCACAACCCAGTTCAAATAATTGGTAATCTGCGTCAGGTGACAAAAAATTCACATATTTAAAGTTAAGGTAAACAATTTTCATATTTATAGGATATTTGGGGACTGGATGACTTAGATGCTGGTGTTCATCATGTGGTATAATCTGTACTTGCTGTAAGTCATCAGAGACCAGGGAGGACATCATGGGAGATGTTGGCAAAGAAGATGTCTGCTCTTCTTCAAGGTTCTCCCTTGTCACTGTTCTGTGAACTGTCTTCTGACATCCCTCACACAGTGGGTAATTGTATACATTACTGTTTGCATGAATCTCATTTATTTCCACACTCATTTTAGTGTCCCCAACTGGATTGTGAACAACTTAGGATAGGGATTTCAAGCAACATGAAGAGCACTCATCATAGAACTTGAGAAGCTTTTAAAAATCAGTTTGCAATTTCAAAAATGGAGCCAACCTGTCTAAAATGTTAGATTTTGGTTCCAAACTATCATTCTTGGTAAGATGTCATTTTGTTATCTATTTCAAACTTATCCTCTTATGTCCATGAATAAGAGTTAGCAATAACTACAGAATGTTCCTCCACTGCTGCACAGAAAGAGATATTTTCATTCATATTCATACCTACCGTAAGTGCATAGAGGAGACCCAAGCCCACCAATCCAGAATTGGACGACCCACTAATGGAAGCAATAGATGCAGTAAGGACAATGCAAGCTCCCAGGTAATCCTGAAAAAGAGCAAGCAAAAAGTCACAAAATTATTCCCAAGTTCTTAAACCAAAAATCTCAACTAAGGTGATCACCATGTGTTCTGTTACATTTCAGAGGAAGGATACCTAAGATATGGAATAACGAGAACTTGCAATATTACAACTGGAAAGGAGAGTGGTGCCACACTCTCATTATATAAGATAGGGGTTTTCAGAAGTTAAATACCTTTTACCTTCTCAGAAGTTAAGCTGCAATTGGTGTCAGAAACAAGACCTTGTCCCCACCCCACATTTATATACATTGTGTTGCCAGACAAGCCACATTTTTGGACCTGATTTTCTAGCTTATATTTCACATGTGCTTTTGTCGGGATTGCAATAGCTTCTCTGTATGGTAGAGTGAGATCCTTGCAGAAATGTCCCTCTATTTAACTTGTTGGCAATTGTATCTTAACTTTTTGCCAACTGTGCTCAGAGTCTGGGACATTAGATCTGCTGATCTATGTAAATGAGAATAAATTCTATATGTGCTCATAAAGTATGCACATGTCTCAGAGTACCTAAATTTTCCATGATTCAATGATAAACTCTATTGCAAAACTTTAAAAATTCACGAAGGTCAATCTTAGACTCAAATGGGAGTCAGCAGACATCTGTTTATTTCCTAACACCCTCTTCATTCCCCATTTCCCAATATTCTTAGGTATTGGTCTGTCCTCTTATTTGAAAAATAAATCCAAAAAACTTCTCATGCTGATGTGTCACAAGTCCCAGAAGCAGGTAGAATTTCAGACTTGGATTCCCTAGAATAATCTCAAGTTTCACCCCACTGGTGAACCCCTTCTCTAGCTTGACATATCTGTGATCCTCAAAAAACAAAACAAAACAAAACAAACTAGCAACTTGGTGATAAGACTTTATTAACAGTAATGGAATGTTTAATGTGCTGAAATAAATGAATGAAACTTCTCCAATCAGTTCACACATGTGCATTGTTGAGTCTTTGAAAAAAGAGTTCTAAAGATCAAGCTGTTGGAGAACAAACAGTATCTCAGCCTTGGAATCCAAACCTGGGTTCAAATGTTGGCTTTGCCAGTTACTAGCTAGTGGACTCAGACAAGTAATTTAAACCCCCTTGATTCTCAATTTTTCTTCAAAAAATATAAATAGTGCCTAATTCACAGAGATTTTAAAAGAATAAATAAGTTAAGTACCAGCTAGATTTCCTCATCTCCATTCATCAGATGTCTTTCTTCTCCTGAATGATTTTCAAACATTTGAAGCCAGCTTAAACATGTGCATCCATTATAAGACATCAAAGATCAAAAGAGGCACTAACATTTAATTCTATATTGATTCCCGTAATTGTTATAAAGGATTAAAAAAATTAATCATGTAGAGTTCATCCCTTGAGATAAAGAGTTCCACAAAGGTAGTAAATACTCATTCACTTTTTTTGATGTAGTCATTGCTAAGGATTTACCACATTCCAACCAGACAGTTCTTCTTCTTTTCCCCTTTATTTGAAGCAATAACTGGATGGAGGCAGAATCTAACCAGTCTGGATTATTTTTTTCATGGTTTATAAATGTCTATATGAGCCCCCAAATACTTCTAAAACATTTGTAGCAATGATTTTTTTCCTTCTTAGCCCTCATGTAAAGTGCATACTTTCAAAATCATGTGATACATTTGTTATTTCCATATTATCTTTCCCAAAAATACTCACAAGAATTTTCTGCGATAAGTTGTAAAAAGTAAATGAGTACAAGAGGATATTTACAACAAGGTATTCCTAGCAGTATGTAAAGAAACACATTACTCAGCTCCTGAGAAATTTCTGTGAGGATGTATACATTAAATGTTAGGAGCAAGGCTCTTTGTTATCAATTTCTATTCTCTGATTTTTGTGTTGACTTCTTTGGGAAGAACAGCCTCACTCATTCATTCATATATTCTTCTAAAAGTGTAAGTCAGATAATATCGCTTCTCTCTATAGAACTATCAATGCCTTCCTACAGCACCTATAATAACTTCAAACAATGATGGATTACAAAGCTTTACATGACATAAAGTATGAATTCTATATCCTCCTTACTCAGACCCTATCTGAATTGCTTTCATGCTTCAACCCCACTAGCTGTTTCCTGTTCTTGGAAGTACACCCACCGACTTTGTTGCTGCTAATGGCTTCCTTGAATGTTTGTCCACAGGTCGCTGACACCTGGCTTCTCCTCACTGTTAAAGTGTCAATCAAATGACAACTCTTTGGAGAGGCCTTCCTTTCTTGGCCCCCAACTCTAGCCTTAGAGCTGATCTCTATCTCACTGCCCTGTTTTATTTTCCTCAAAAAACTTAGAGATACCTGAAATGATCTTATTTGCTTATTTTTAAAAAAGTTCTTTGTCTATCTACTCTCACTAGAATCCAAGCTCCATAAGGACAGGGTCTTTCAATATTTTCCATTTATTACATCTAGCAAGAGCAAGACACTTGGTGTATTAGTTTCTATTCTAAGTACATTGTAAAGGTCTAGAGGTTCTTTATGGAAGAAATGATTGGGTACATTCACCTCTTCATAAAACATTTACTGAGTATTTCTATGACTCGAATATCTTCTAAATTAGGACATCAAACATCTTTGCTTTTAGAGATCCTGTGAATCATTTAATTCTCTACCAGCTTCTTTTCCCAATTTTTAGAGTTGAACATGGAAAGCTACTACAAGAATGCAATATTTGATGAAGTAAGGAATTCTACACCAAGTTTTATGAACTTTTTGCCCMCATTTTGAACTGTGCTATGACCATCTCCTACTAAGCTTTGCCAGGCATAAGGGTTAGGGGTTCTTTGCTTTCCTAAAGTGAAAACCACTCTTACTTGACCATTCAATTCCAAATCATTATTATTTTTTATTATTTCAATTGGGAGGCTCATAAATTGCTGTGTTGCTGTATTCATTACAGAGAGCAGATAAGAACAGGGCTAAAATAGAACAGGGCCACATACGAGATACTGAAGCAACAAAATAATCACTGAGTTTATATAAATGAAAATTAAGCCATAGGCCCAATATTAATAGGACAAAGGAAATGTAAAACATTACACACACAGAGACACACACTCTCTCTCAATTTAGTTTAATACAGAAAACTCTGTATTCTATCTTGGGCTCCTGGATTCACACGCAGCATAGAACTAARTGGCAGATTCGACGAGATGACAATTTTAATTACTTTTTCTTGAAGTAAAATAACTTCTGGGAACACATAGAGTCTTACTCTGGGAAAAGATTCAGAAAGAGAAGTGAAACCAGAATAAGGAAGTAAAGGGAGAAGGCTGATCAATACATTATAGTCATATATTTTCTAATCTGCTTCCACATAGCTAATGTTTTCAAAATGACCTGTGAAATTTGTCAGTGTTACSACTAGGCGTTATTAGTTCAGTAATTAATGAGTCTCCAATGTAAAGATATTATAGAGATAATGTTTTTTAGACTTCAGTAAAAAGAAGGCATAGCTTTTTGAGGTACATTTTATAGGCAAATTTTCAGATGAACCCATGATCAAAATTTATAGTCAGATTCAAATAGATATAACTTGAAAGCTAATATGTCACTAGGATCTGTAACAAAATTATTTATCATTAAATATTCCTTTTATGCTCTTTTTTAGAAAGTGCTGTTCACAATGTCATTTAATTAATACTATTTTCCAGCTCACTTCTATATTATTACTACTGCACAAAAATGTGTTTTCTAAGGAATTGGAATTTTGGGGGAAGCATTTGATCAGAATTTTATCTTGATCTATGTAAGGGACAAAGCTCCTTTGTGCACAACTTTTAACAAGAAAATTTCATAGCATAATCACTAAATTTTAATTACTTCCCTTCAAATAGTACAGTGGTATATAAATATGAAATTGAGAGATAATATAAAAACTTACACTAGCTATCAATTTTCTACTTCCTTTAGTGTTAACAAGTTTAATGAATTTCAAAATAGCCCTATGGTTTCTACTTCTCTGCAAATATATAAACAGAAAAATGGCTTAAGAGCAATAAATTAAGAAGTGGGAAGCAGGCACACTGAACRACTCACCCATAGGACAGTAAATACTTAGAAAGCACAACACTTTTTCTATTAAGACCTTATATAGCCTAACCAATTTATTCAATGACAAGCATCTGTCAAAATGATAAAATGGCATAAGATTCAATTTAAGAAACTTAGTATATTAATCCTAAATACATTAGTACTCCCCCCAAAAAACCAATCATAGGACATTTTACTTGTATATTGCTAAATTATAACTTCTATCAATTTTATGAATCCAACACTCTCCCCCAGAATAGAAGCCTTGGATTTCCATGTCAAAAGAGAAGCCTCTCGTCAAATTCCTAACAAGTGATTCAGTCTATATGTGGGATTATAATGAGAATTCTAAATCTCTATAAAACAGACTTGCAAAAAGTTAACAGTAACCAAAATGTATATACCCCTCAGGAGTATGTTTATGGCACCACTGCAGGTGGAGGAGAATATATTTCCTCCAAATTGAAAGATCACTTCACACCTGTCTACTGTGGAGTTGTGAACACACAAAAAGCTCGGTGCTATTTCACAAAGTATGCTCTTGTGCAAGTTCACCCTGAAGACTATTTTCACTTTAGCATGCGGATTCCAATCCCCCCCGCCTTTTTTTTTCTTTTTGGCTTCCTGATGTGAATTTTCTTTTATCCTTTCACCACAYAGCAAGACAAAGCCTTGGAAAGACAGCCTTGAAATAGAATTACACAACTTTTGCAAGTGGAAACACTGGTGCCAAAGAACTGGAATTGTTTAGTGCAGAGAAAAACGCTGTGCTGAACCAGAGCGTAGGCAGCACTCAAAGGTTAGGCTGCAGCGACACATCGCACAGGATCACTTCACTTGGCACCCGGGGGGAAAAACAGTCCCCTCTGCTGCCAAAGCTACCCGGGTGGCCCCTGTCTGGCTACTTTTATACCAGCCAAATAATTTTATCCTTTTAGACCTTTGTCCTTTGTTGATGTGAGTGTGTTATTATGGCCCTTATTTTTTTTCCCAATTCAAAATAAATAGGATATATATATATGGTAGGCAAGAGTGAATCCTCCATGAGGACAACTTCACCCAGAGAAAGAGAATGTATTGTGATTGCCATGCAAAAGTCACGTGTTTACAAACCCAAACCCAAACCACAATGATAGCAAACGCACATTGTATGGGGCTCAGAGACCCTGCCAAACTCAATACGCTGGTTTTGCTCTGGTTTCCCTCCTTTTCTCTCTTTAGGATTTTCTGTCAATAGCAGGGACATTAGTTTGAAAAAGCTAGAACTGGAAATGAAGAGAAAGGGAAGAGAAAAACAGTCACAGCAAGCTGTAAAATTATGTTTTCTTCTGTTTCCATTGAGGTTCTGAGTCCCTGAATGTGAGTTTGTGAAATCTCAGCATCTGCGTCAGGAAATCCTGCTGCCTCTTCCACTTGATGCCCAAGGCAGTGACCCTCCTTGTATCATTTTCATCATGTTTCTGCTCTAAGAACTCTAAGAATATTTGCTAAGAGCAGATATTTTAATTTCCTGAGTAATATGGCAAAGGATAGTACAGTAATAAAGAAATGCAAAATTGATAGTATATATATATATATATATATATATATATATATATATATATATATATATAAAGGGGAAGGTTTGTTGATATTGCAAATAAGATTGATGGCTGATTTAGGGGGTCAAATAGAAGTTCTCATTACTTTTTTTTCCCCAAATGACTTACATAGCAGGATATGTGCAGCTGCAGTGTTCAGAGAATAGTTCACACCCCAGTCTCCAAGGTCCTATATCTCAATATTCATACTTCTGACAAAAGATCAGTCATTTCAACTGAATTTATGTCTCCAGTGATGTGGATACATCCACAGAAGCATGGTAATAATAAGGTCATGGATATGTACACAATTAGAAGGGAAGATGATTTCCCAACAGAAATCATCTACTTAATTTACTCAGTGCTCTTACTGTGCCATATATTCTTAGAAGATAGCACTTGCATTTTAATATATCTGGTTTTAATGAAAATGCTCAGTGTATTCAGAAGAATAGAATGAGAGGGAAGCCAACTGGTCTTATGTTGGATCTCTGGAGTTGTCTAGAGGGTTGTGTGTGGTGTGCATGTACATATCCACATAAACATATTGACACTTAAGTGTAATGGATGTGTCTGGAACTTTTCAGTAAACAAACAAAAGTTTCTACCAAAATTCCCCTTTACCTGTTAGAAACAGAAGCAAAAGATGTTTTAATTTGAGGAGGATACCAAAACTCAGGAGTGAATTATCCTTATTGTTTTGTATTTTTTTTTTTTTTTTTGTACCAGGGATTGAACTCAGAGGCACCTGACCACTGAGCCACATCCCCAGCCCGATATTGTATTTTATTTAGAAATAGGGTCTCACTGAGTTTCTTAGTGCCTTGCTATTGTTGAGGCTGGCTTTGAATTTGCAATCCTCCTGCCTCAGCCTCCTGAGCCACTGGGATTACTGGTGGGTGCCATCGTGCCCAGCTTGTATCAACTTTTAAAGGAGGGATCTAGCAGTGAGACTAGTTTGGCAAATCTTGGAAGGATCATAATTACACAGCACAGAGAAAGTATAATAACAAATGTACTATAAAATAATGGCATGAATGGCAGATTCTGTTCTTCCTGTTTAAAATGTCAGTACAGGTGTGTTTAGCTACTTTTCCGAGTGGGGGTTAAAGTATTGGGTCAAATGAAACCACTTTGAGCTTGGCTGCTGTTCCTTTCTAATTTGTCCTGACCTTCCCTTTCTTGGCAGCCTTAAGGCTCCGAAGTCTTGTGTTTTGGCTATGAGAACTGAACATATGGTTTGTTTGAAGATTCTTGTTCAACACTTGTCCATGAACCTGACAGTAGGAAGTGCTAAAGAGCAGAAACAGGAGTCACAGGCGGACATGCACTGCACCTCAAGTCCAAAGTAAATGCACTCGCCCCCTAAAAGACACGCTTGCTCTTCAAGTGGAGGAAAATCAAACACATGGGCAAATACGACCATTTCCCCCTTACGATTCTGCAACATTCTTTCATTTAGCTATTCCATTGCTAATTCTATTATTCAGATACAATGTTTTCCCTTAGAGAAAAATGCAAATTTGAAAAAGACACAACAAACAGAAGTTTAAAGCAAGGATTTATGGATTGGATGGAGTCTAGAAAAAATGTTTTGGTTTTGTTACAGATCTTATGCAACTTGCTATCTGCCTTCACTGTCACCTAGAAGGAATTTTTTATCAACAACCAATGCTTCTTTCAAAAACTTGGGAGATATAATTGTGTTATATTGCTGAATAGTTTCTGCATAATAACTAATAATAGTGGGTGGATAATCTCCGTAAACCACTGAGAAATCATAACTAAAGCACACACATGTAAAAAAAAAAAAAAGCATCCAAGATGCCATATCAATCCATATCCACCAATCAACAGCTCCGGTTTTAACTTGGACACTTCATTTCAATGTTATAAAATTCCTATTTTCATCTGTCCTCTCTGATTATTGAATTTAAATAACTGGCTACATATGAATATGCCAAAAAATTCCACAATTATAATTGTACATGTACAATTATGATGCCCTAATTAAAGTAACAATAATAATAAAGAAAGGAAATCATAGAGTAGAACAAGTAGATGGGAGAAAGAGGAAGGGACAGAAAGGGAAGCTCCTAGGGAATTAGGGCAATCAGACTGTTTTGTGCATGTACAAATACGCCATCATGAATCCCACTATTATGTATAATTATAATGCAGCAATAAAAAAATAAAAGTCTGCATGGGTGGAGACAATCCATTGGAGTAAGGTTCTTCCAACAGAATAAAACTGAGAGTTAACCATAAGAAAACACCATCTAATGTCATCATTACTCCAAAAGTCACTTATTCATGCTGCAAATCTCACAGACTGTGTTCCTTCTTCTCCAGAACAACTATCTCAACTTTCTCCTACTTCATCCTTTAGCTGATCAGTTTATGAAACACTTACCAGGGTAAATACTATCTCCATTCATTCATCCTTCCATTCAGAAGACATTTTTAGTGCCTTTGATAATCAGCATATAAGGGCATATTTATTATTTTCAATCCTAATACTCCCATGAAGCACATATTCTTATTCCTGTTTTATAGATGAGGAACTGGGACTCAAATAAATTCATTTGCTGGACCAAGTCTGTGTAGGGTCAAAATTTGTGCTTGCTTTTTCACATCAAACAGGAGAAAGTAGTAGATGACTAATTAAAGTTATTTTTTTTTTAATTTTTTAAAATTTTGGGCTAATATGATCCTCCACTGGCTTAAAACATAGAAAGCTGCATCTCTTCCAGGTCTATCCCACTCAGTGAAAAAAATGAATACATCTGGACACTTACAAGATTTGTTCTTTAAAAAAAATGGCAGTTATATAAATATTTGCCATTCCATTAACCTATGTAGTCCAGAGACCGTAATGAACACAAAATGAATTTTTTGCTTTTGGGGCTATTTGTCTTGCCATTAGCTAAAACATTATGACAAATTTCATCTGTAACATAAACAAACCTGAGCTATTTTAAAGTCCAGAAAATGTGAGGCTAGCACTGAATCTCAGTGGAAGACTAATTTTTACAACTGTCTGCCTCTCTGCATCAGGACTCCTCGGCTTGGTTTCCATTTCGAAATCATGAAATGAACGTACCGTCCTGACCTCCAGCCATCTGTTGGCAGCTGAGAGAAATAAGTAGGCAATGTTGTTTGTGTCCGTCAGTTCCAGCATACGTTGCTTAAATCTGGTTTCATGCCTGCAGAAAACAAAAATATTATGATGTTAGCCACACAACAGAAGAAGTAATAAAAAACAGTCACACTTACTACTACACAATTTACTCAAAACAGTGACAAACTGAGAAGATAGGATGACTGGTAAATGGACTCCCACTTCAAAATAAAGACCAGCTGCTGCTGCTCTGCTGCATTGTTAGTAGAGGCACAGAGGCCAAGTGTTTGCTTGGTTTTCACACCCCTCCTAGGAAAGGAGTCTTTCTGATGACAAATTTTCATTAAACATCATTTCATGAATTTCCACCTAATTATTGTGGCCAGGAAAATAAGGCATGACCTATGTGGTAAGGGCCCTAGGAAAACCTTAATAAATGGTAGAGAAATGCAATATTTTCTGCCTTCTTTTATGGCATTTATTTTAATTTTCCAAATGACATGACTAGGGTTGAGTGAATGGTGTTGGGTGAGAACCAGGGAAGACAGGAAGCTATGCATTTGGAACAGGTGAATAGATAGTTTCAAAAATTTTGTTTTGCCTGGTGTTACTGGGAACTAAAGAAGGAAAGTGGAGTGGCAAGAAGTAGAGGAGGAGGGGTTTTGCAGATGGCAAATGTACCTGTTAGTTAAGATATGTGCACCCCAAATTTCTAAACTATTTGTAAGGAAGGTCACTGCATAAAAGGAGATCTTGGTCTCTGGTACTTAAGGGGTTCTATAATCCATTGATTTAGAACCTATATTTAGTTCTATATCCATAGATTTAGTTTGGATATTTATCCTGGACAAGTTAAATTTGTTCATTCTTAGTGCTCTACAAAATCACCAAATCTTGTGCAAAAAAAAAAAAAAAAAAGAAATTAATATTTTTCTGGTGGTGTTAGGGGATTGATCCCAGGGCTTCATGCATACTGGGTGAGCACTCTACTACTGAGTTTTATCCCCAGCCTCTGTGCTTATAAAATAGACCAATTTATAAGTGTTTTATAAATGAAACATGTTTTATAAGTGAAACTGCTAATTAAAAAAAACTTTATCTCTTTGAACATGCGAGCTACTATCTCACAGAACCTCCTATCTAAATTCCAAAAGTGTATTTTCATTTTGCAGTTATTTCCCCTGAATAACAGAAACAATGAAAGCTGGAAAATCACTGGATTGAAACTAGGGGAAAGGCCAAATCAAATGCAGTTTATTCACTCTGTGGGCATGGCTTGTCTTATATAACCCTTTTGCAAAGAAGAGCCAAATTTCGTCTGACAGCCTGATACTGATTCCTGTTTGGTAAAAGAGGGCCCCAATTCCCCCCAAAATCTTCAAATAAAATAGCACAACTTTTTAGTAAACCATCAGTTGTATCAAAGAACAAAGAAATCCCGAGTGGGGTGTTCAAATGGCCCACAATCCATATAGACCCATATAAAGTAGATACTTGATACTTCTCCAGTCAATCTGATCATTCTAATATGCCAAATCAAATAGATAATTTAATCAGACAGCAACATCTGATCTACAAATACCAAGGATTTGGCAATCAGAGCCAAATAATTGCTTCACTTTTAGTTATGTAGCCTTGACCTTGACAACAGGCACACTGCTGAGCTGAATGGCAACACATAGTGTGGGCTAAGCACTGTGAAGGACACATTGACCCTCCAGGTGATCCTCTGAGGAAGGAAAATACTGAATAACTATTGGGCACAGGGTCTTATAAGATAATAGGGTTTACTGAGATAGTGGATGTGAACTGTAAGTATTCATGGGAGCCTCATTCTTTCTGTAACTGCTAGGTACATATTAGGCACATGTTCATCTGTCCATTCAGAAACATTTAGCAAGCAGGACTCGAAGCGAGACATTAAGCTAAACTTTGGGCACATGCATATCAACAAGATGCACCCCTCCTTCCTAGAGGAGTCCCCAGTCTAATGAAGGAGGAAAAGAGTATTCAACAGTAAATATGGTGAAGCACAGTATCTAGTTATAATGAAGAAAACGCCACATGGACACAAAGGAAACAGATGGCCCCTACAGAGCAGACTACTCAAGAGGTGGGGAATGGGGAGTGGGAGGGGACAGAGTGTCTGGCCAGGTTTCCCAAAGGACTGGAAAGATGACCTGCGCATGGTTTTAGGGAGTGAGCTAAATGTTTTCAGGTGAACCAAGCATTCTAAGGAGCAGGAACAACAAGAGCAAAAGCATAGAAATGAGAAAGCCCAGCATGTTCCGGAGGCTGGACACAGGTTTTCGCCCTGTTGGACTTGGGGTGAGAGAGTCCAGAGACCAGGCCAGCTGGAGCATGGCCTGAGAACTGCGTTTGAGAGGAACATGGAACACTTGATTCTGACACAGGGTTTTGTCGGGGAATCTTCCTCCTCTTCCCTCATTTGTGGGGTCCTGTTTCAGACGTGCTCTTAGAGAGTTTGTAAATGGAGCTGGCAAGAGTCTGAGGCCGCAGTGAGCGGGGAGGGGTGAAATGCAGTGAACATTCTTTCTGTGTGTTTCTATTTGGCAAGAAACCTTCTGTTTTCCTAATGGAAACTTTGACACACTCAGTCTGTATCTTTTCATCCACATCCAGCTCATCTTCTGAACATTCTTAGACCTTTATTCTGTCAGACCAAAAAAAAAAAAAAAAAAAAAANAGGAGGAGGAGGAGGAGGAGGAGGAAGAAGGAAAGAAAGAAAAGAAAGGAAAGGTCACTGAAATCTCAGTCAATTTAACTGTGTTACTTTTGCGGTGAACTACTTGAGGGAGTTCATTGCTCTGAGTGAGGACACCATGAACCCTGAACTCAGAGAGGGAAAAGCAACCTAATCAGTAACTACCAACTTTCCAAAAGAGCTCAAGACTCTAGGGACTCCAAGTAGCTCAAAAGAAAGGAACAGATGGATGGAAAAGAACATGTTTGGTTCTTGACCACAAATACCAAACATACAGATTCTAGAATTTCATCCATGGCAGCAGGACCATCCCCACATTTTCAAGATTTGTCCTGGTTTTTTAAAAAAAAGCTGATATTTATGATATTTTATAATTACATTTTTTGTTTGTTTGTTTGTTTGTTTGTTTTGTACTAGAGATTGAACCCAGGGACACTTAACCACTGAGCAACATCCCCAGTCCTTTTTATTTTTTATTTGAACACAGGGTCTTTCTAATTTGCTGAAGCCTCACTTAGTTACTTAGGCTGGCTTTGAATTTGTGATCTACCTCAGCCTCCTGAGTTGCTGGGATTATAGGTGTGCAAGACCACACCYGGCCTTTTATATTTATTCTCTTCATTTTCTTTTTTTAAAAATTTTTATTTATATATGACAGCAGAATCCATTTTTTATATATTATGCAAGCATGAAATATATATTATTCTAGTAGTTAGGATGCCATTCTTATGGACATACAAAATAGTGAAATTCATTTTGTTGTTTTCATATACCTATATGGGAAAATTATGTTTATATTCACTTTTTAAAGAGTTCTTGAAGATCTAAATCTGGTTCTAGACATAGGCAGTATACTCCCAGTTAGAAGTTGAATTCTTTATTCCCTCCAACTATAATGCAAGCATGGAAGGTTCACATGTAATATGTAGTTCTTCTTATGGCTACCTAGAATTTTCCAAAATTTAAAGTTACCAATGCTAGTGCTAAATTCTGTTTGTATACCTCGTAAAGAAGGTAAATGAAAATGTGAACCTTGACTCTTGGTCAATATCCTCTTTCATTCTAAATCTTCCTCAATCCCTTCAAATGCTCTACCTACTTCTTGTCCCCAGCACTGTCAGAAGATGACCTTACCTTGTCCTTCAGGGAGAAAATAAAGACTGTTATATGTTGAATTCAGCAACTTTTTGCTGCTTCATGGTGATGGTTTAGATATAAGCCTTTCCTTACCACCCTCTGCAAAAAGCTCCTGTGTTAATGAAGAAATGTTCAGAACTGAAATGATCAGAATATGAGAGCTATAACCTAATCAGTGGATTAATCCATTTGATGGATTAATAACTTCAAAGGACTACTGCACTATCTGAACTGTGGACAGATAGGGTGTGGTTGGAGGAAGCAGGTCACTGGGGTCGTGCCTTTGGGATTTATATTTTGTTTCTGGTGCCTGGTTTGCTTTCCCTCTCTCCCTTCCCCAACCTCCTTCTTCTTTCCCTCTCTCCCTGTCCCCTCTCTCCTCTCCTTCTCCCTGCCCTTCCTGCCTACCAGAAGCTGAGCAGCCTTCCTTCACCACCACTTGGGCCCAGAGCACTAGGGTCAGGTGACCATGGACTGAATGATTGGCTACATTGTTCTTGTCAGGACTTTTGGTCACAGCAACAGAAAGCTGACCAATACATCCACCCAGAGGCTTGTCTGAATTTGTACACATCCTTTTTCTTACCTTCACAGAGGAGCTCTGTCAAAAATCCTCTTCAAGTGGAGTTCTTCTCTCTATTTGGTCCCTTGAACCCATCCCTGCCACCTGCCATGAATATCTGCTCCACTAATCATTCCATTTTTGCCTATATCTCCACTTCTTCCCTTTAGCCTTTAAAAATGTCTAGCTTTTTACCCCCTTGAAAAATAAAAAAAAGACAGTTAAGAACTCCTTCCTTTAATTATTCAGCCCCCTCCACTCCTTCCTATCTCTGTGAAGCTCACTGAAGAGTAATTTTCCTGGCTGCCTTCAGGTCCTGATTTCCAGCTAATTCTTCAGCCCCTTGAATTCTGACTTCAATCCCTCTTCCACTTTACCATTTCTGTTCTTGGTAAAGTTACCAACAGCTTCAAGGTTTCCATATACAAAGGAAACTTTTTATTTTATTAACTTTTCATTTCCATTTTTATTCCCCTTGACCATTTAATTTCTTCTTAAAATGCTCAGTTGTTTCACTTCAATGACAGCATTATCCTTGTTCACAGCTAGAACTTTCAATATGACTCTTCATTCTCATTGAAATTGCAGGTGATTATACTCCACCCTGATTCTTTGACTACCACTCAGATAGCTTGTTTTCTTAACTGGTCTGGGTTCTTCTTGCTTGGTGGGAGGTGAGGTCTATTCTCCTAAGTGGCAACATCTGACCCTATTACATCACTGTAATCTTGAGAAGAGGATAAGGCTAAATCCAAGTCCATTATAATAAGTGGTCTGTGGTACATTTGGATCAGACAGTGACAGTCGGACCTCTGGATCTGTCCTTGACCTGGGTAGAGTTATTAAAGTAACTGTTTGCTTATTAGTAGGTGTCATTTGAATGAAGGGCTATCAAAACTTTCAGCTGACTACTTAAGTAGTCATCTTTGGAAGCCATCAGGTAGACAAAGTGCTTGTGTGCTAGCCTTTTTCTATCTGCATATATACCCAACGTGACGGGAGGTCTCCGTAAATTCAGTCTTTAAAACTGCCATTAACTTCTCACTCATTGGGCAGTTGATTTTTACAGGAATCAACTTGCTCAACCAGCACTCACAAGATCAAGATTGCTTCTTCCATACAGAAGGCGTTGGTTTGGATTTGGTAGCATCAGGCTGGCTTACGTGGAGGTTGGCCAGAATCAGGAAGCACACAAAGGGATTGTTAGTTAGACTATTATGGGCTGATTTGAAAGTTAAGCCAGGCTGACTTCATTCGACTCAGACATCTCACCCTGCACGGGGAATTGGACCCCTTCCTATAAGGGCCCACTTTTGCACAGAAGCTGACACCCTCACCCACTTGCACCCTGACCGCAATGCCTTTAAACTATGGAGCTGTTCTGAGTAGATATAAGAAGTGTCAACTCTCAGAATGTTCTGTTAGTTGGTACTTTCCACTTTTATGACTTTTATGGCTCCCTTCTTTGTGCTTTTTTTTTTTTTCTGTTTAAATGGACCCTCCACCTGTATTCAGGGTCTTGGGCTGCAGAACTGTCTGCTTTCTGCTCCTTTGGCCCTAGTCAGAATAAATCCTTTGTTTTTTCATCAAAAAGACCCAGAGGTTTTTTATTTTTTGGGAATTTTAGAATATCACCATAACAAGAAGACTAAAGCCATGACAAGGAGCCATACTAGCACTTCCCCTTCCTGAGAAAGTTGACTGGAGAAAGAGTTCAAGCAGGCTGCCCAAGTGCAGAGGGAAGGAAGCATATGAGATAAAGAGTCATGAAGATATTAGCAGGAAGTAATACACAGAGTAATGGAACGTCCTTTAATCATTCATGAAACCTTTGAACACCTGCAATGTTTCTGACTCTTCGTATTCTGAAGGTAAATATAAAAACCACATTACCAGCTCCCCAGGAACTCCCAATCTTGTGGAGCAATTCAAACACAGAAACAGATGCATCTGGGGCTGGGGATGTGGCTCAAGCGGTAGGGCGCTCGCCTGGCATGCGTGCGGCCCGGGTTCGATCCTCAGCACCACATATAAAGAAAGATGTTGTGTCCGTCGAAAACTAAAAAATAAATATTAAAAAATCCTCTCTCTCTTTCTTTCTCTCTCTCTCTCATCTCATCTCTTAAAAAAAAAAAAACAGATGCATCTGACACAGTGCAATAAGTTTAGGATACTARTTAGTATAGAGACAGTAAGAAGGCATGGAATCTAGATTCTGACAGTCAGGGAAGGCTTCCCAGAGCAGATGATAAACACTGATATTTCAGCAATGAGAAAAGCACTAATTCACCAAAATAAAAGAAGGTTAGGAGGGACAGGCAATAGAGCCTGCCCTACCCAGAAGCATGAACCTAGGAGGATCAGCTTTGCTTGACAGATAGTATTTTCCATGATACCTTTGTTGTCCACTTGCTAGTAATATAAGAATTTACCCTAGCATTTCTTTGTCTACATGCTGTCCCGCGTAAGAAGAAAGCCAAAATGTTAAATAATATCTGTTAAGAGGATAACACTTAAACCTTCAATCTTTTTCTCTGAGATATTTCTTTAAACACCAGACCTATATACACAAGTAACTCCCCAAATCTTAAGTGGGTATCACATCAGCAGCTTGATCTACTCATAACCAGAGTCACCATCTCCTTCCCCGATCCTCCACAATGTCTTCAATTTCCTAGCTTGGAAAACTGTACTCACTTATGGGGATCAGGGACCTGGAAGGAATCATCTTCAATTTCTCCTTCATTCAATTTCTCCTTCATTCTCCTTACGTTCAAACCCTAACTCTCACTGGTCCCACGTCCTGCTAAAATATATACTCTCTGTCCAGATGCTTAGTACCTGCTCTAGCTAGCTCTGGCCACATCATCTGGATCACTTGCAACAGCATCTTATTACCTTTAGCCTCAACCATCCTCATTCATTTTTCACAGTACAGCAGTGTTATTCTGATGAACATAACTCTGGTTGTGTCATTGTTCTCTTAAGAATCCTTCAGTGGCTCCCCAACATGAAAAGAACGAGCTCTAAGCTCCTTAAGGTACTGATCCAATATGCTTCATGTACACTCTGCATTCATGCTTTTAAGCTTCATGGTGAGAGTCACCCTCTCCATTCCTACAACATGGGATTCTTTCAATTTCTACATAAAATAGAAATCTTTGTGCTTTTGTATTATTCCACTCTGAATATTCTATCCCTTTTAAGTCCAGGTTAGCTATTTATTAAAAGACTTACTCTTTAATAATTATCTCCCAGCTGTTTTGAGGCTAAATGCTACCCTGTTCTCTAATGCAATGGATTCTTGTGGTATGCATATTAGACTGTGTAACTTATTATCCTGCTATGTTTTGTTTTTTTTTTTTTTAAACCATTTCTCCTTCTAGACTATGAGCTCCTTAGGATAGAGCTCGTGTCTCCTAGTATTCAATATAAATTTCTTAAGTACTTATTAAATGCTGGACATTTTTCCCAGGTATTGATGATATAACAATGGGGGAAGAAAAAGGCCTGCTCTTAGCTTACATTCTAGTTGGAAAGGATGGATAATAAGCATGTAAACAATTTAAAAATAGAGAAAGTTGAATTTTTAAATACTCTGGTAACACTAAAAGAGAAATAAACAGGATAACATGGCAGGTAAGTAGGTGGCAAAAGTGTTCCCTTTAGCTGGGATGGAAATGAAAAGGCCATATATTTTCAGTCTTTATCTACAAGAATAGTACATGGCGGGAGTACTGGGGTACTGATACTGGCCAAAATATATTGTTATATTGTGTACATGCATGAATATGTGACAACAAATCCTACCATTATGAACAACTATAATGTACCAATAAAAAATGTGGAGAAGAAAAGAAAGAATAGTACTTGGTATGTGTTCAGTTTTTAAATAAATATTTTTTTGTAAATTAACTTGAAAGGACTTTAGTGAAAATGGTAATCTTTTAATTGTTGTCACTGCTAGCTATAATTCAAATATAAATTTTATGTTAAAATCTATATTTGGTGCCAATAAACAGTTTAACATCCTCAATGAAAGGGGAAAGCATCTCAGGACAGGAAGTGTGAATGCTGTGTGATGAAACCTGCACAGATTTATGCAGAAATTCTGTGATACATAATGTTTCAGAAAGTTGTGTCTTTATATTCTACTCTCACACCCAATTCTGCATTTTTAAAATAAATTTCTTATGTTAGAAAAATCTCTCGTTAAAAATCAAAGCATACTTGCAATAATGGTGATAGAAAGACAGCATTATAAAATGTCAGTTTTCCTGATCAAATGAAATATTCTGCAATGTCTTCTTTTCTGATTTTACTTGAAAAGGAAAACAGGGCAAGAAATTTGAGGGTCAAGGAAACAGCGTTCCTCAGAAACCTGTGTTATTACTCTGTTTGCAAACGTTGAAAAATRTTGATTCAACTCTAAAATAACTTTGGTGCAACAGTATTACTTTTGTTAGAATTATTGTTACTGTTATCATCCATACATTTATTTTAACTTGCTGATTGGGAGCTTCTTCAACAGTCCAAGCACCCTAATGAGCAAGACTGATTTCCCCATTTCACAGCTGAGTAAATAAAGGCCAGAGAATTTTGAAAACCTCATCTAAGATGCAAAGCTAACACCTTTCCAATATGTTGCTTCATCTTTTCTTTACTCTTATTAAAATTTCAGAGGGTTAAGCTCTGATTCTGATCATTTATGGCCACATTATTCTTACTCCTGGTTTAGTTCACTATTTGGCACACAGTAGGCATTCAAAAAATGTCAGCTATTATGTATTATTTGAAGATAAGCATCTGTTGCTGATGCAATCTCCTAATCAGCAACATGAGCACATTTACTCACCTAAAGGCCCGTATGGTAGTGAGTCCTTCAGCGGTTTCTGAGAAGTGGCAGAGCAGAGGGAGCTGGGTACTGTCATCAAGTTCCTGGAGGTCCCTAGGAAGGACAAGCCACTGTAAGCTCCACATGCTACCCAGCTCAAGGGCCACATGCTTCTAAATCAAGGTCACTTTGTCATTATATTTATTTCCCCTAGCTCTCAATTAACAAAAAACTTCAATAGCTTACACATTAGAGAGGAAGAAAAAGATGGATACATTATGGGAACATGTTTTGAACAAAACTCTCAGCTTTGTGTCAGAGCTGATGTAAACTGCTGTAGGAACCCAGGGAAAGAGCAGTTAATTCATACCTCAGAAATGAATGGTATGTTTTTTTAGGCAGGTGAAATTTAGGTCAAACCTTAAGAATGATGAAGGCTTCAACGGAGTAGACAAGTGAATATTAGCTAAAGGAATAACAAGAGCAAGCACAGAAGTCTGGAAAACCTGGCCAGTTCACTCTGGCTGAGGCCCAGAAGGCCTTGGGGCTCTGTAGTGGGAAATGGCCTTGTAAGCCTGGACTAGACTGCAGAGAATTCTTAAGAGATTGGGAAGAAAAAAAAAAAAAAMAACAACAACACTGAAGACTACAGATGAAATGACCAGAGCTGTGCCTGATCAACATTACTTGGAGACAGAGTGTGAGGGATAAAAGAAAACGAGTGAGCGGGGAACAGTTAGGATAGTCTGCATAACAGATATTTAAAATTCTAAGTTAATATGATGCCGATTAGATTTAAAATAAAGGATGGGGTCAAGACTGTGAGATAGCCTACTAGAATAACTTTATATTCTGTAATGAATATAAAGTTCGTTGTATCAAGGAAAAGAAGAGTCAAATATAATATGACTAATTAGTTGTATCAAGGTAAAGAAAAGTGAAATATAATATGGCATGGCTATTTGTGGTTTAGCATAATCAAAATATGACAGTGCTATTTACCAGGGTGGGGGTGACAAAGAGAAAGAGATTTGRTGAAAATAGATCAAGAGTTTGGCTTTGGACATAATGTCTTCATGGAGCTTCCATTGACTTCCCCAAGGAACTATATGTATAGACATATACATTTATAAATGTGTGGTATTGTGCGTGCGTGTGTGTGTATGTGTATGTATGTGAAAAGTATTCACTGAATGGAATTGCTAGAATCTGACTTTTTTCAAAAAGATGCATACTTTTGAGAACTTTTCTTTAAACCTTATGAGTTAGCATTTCTAGAAGACAGGCCAAGAATTATACCACTTATTTCAAAGCACTTATTTCAAAGATTTTATTTCCATCTTTTTTTCTGCCCTTCTTTGGGTCATCAGGGTTGAGAGAACATTAGAGAAGCAGCATCAACATTCACCTGCCAGAGTCAACTGAACTGATAAACACTGTTACACAATGTTCAACAATTAGGCCGTTCTTGGCTCCTCTGTAACCCCACAAACAAATGCAAAGTCTTTGCAATTTGGTATTTCTAAAATGGACTTGTTTAGTTCAGAAATTACAGGTGGAGGAGGGAAAGACAGAGGGAAGGAGAACCAAAAAAATGAAGATTTGTAAATAGTTTCTTATTTTTAAACATGAAACCAAATGACTATTGGTACATCTCACACAAGCAATGAAATGGTCACTACATTGAGGTTAGTGGAGAAGAAAAAAAGGACAGAGTAAATTTTGTTTACAGGAATGTGTTTTGTGGAATCAAAAAGGTGAGGATACAGCTTGATCTTGTATTCTTTTTTTTTT